GGAACTTCTCTCTGAGCTGCACTTGGGTAGCAAGTAGTGTTCTCATATGCATTGTATTTTGCAAATTAACATGGAGCCATACAGGAAATATGACAGTACAGCCTCCTGAGGGCCACCATGGGGACTGAGGACAGGATTTCTCTCCTTCTTTGCCTTCATTCTTGGGAATGGAGTCATTCATTCAGATATGGGGCATGTCTGGCCCCTGCATCACTCTGGGCTGATGATGGTTCTAGTCAAGGGAAAGGAAGAGATGATCTGGGTTTCCTATGGGCTGAAGGAAGATCAGCACCCGGTTTTCCCATGGGATTAGAGGGGTCACAGTGCAGGAGAATCATACTTGGGGAAGGGTCGTTGCTCCCAGTCCTATTGAAGCAGGCTCAGGCTCTTCCCATGTGTGAGAGAGGTGGGCATCAGTCTCTGCTCTCTTGTCAGGCCACAGCGCCCCCTGGTGTCCACAGAGTCATAACGTGTATTTGAATCTAATTAGTACTTCAAAATCAAGTTTTTAAATGCAGAACAACCCACTTACTAACTTTTGCATGGAAGTGAATAATACACAAATATGCAAGTGGGAAATTGCATGTGCACAAAAATAAAAAGTGGAAAAATCATACTGTCAACCTCTTTTAATAATAAATTAAAAACATAATTTAAGAAGAAGTAAAAATGGTTCCATTAAAAAAAATGAATAAACAGACCAGTTTCCTTAGAAAAAAAGACAATATTATTATGAACTATTCCATAAAAAGGCATAAGACGTGGTTAACTTCACAAAATGTATATATTCTTATAGAAAGAAATACACACACTTGATATATAAAATACAGAAAAAGGGGGGTGCCTGGGTGGCTCACTTTGTTGAGTGTCTGACTTTGGCTGAAGTCATGATCTCAAGGCTTGGCTCTTGAGTTTGAGCCCCACATCCCGCTCTAACCTGACAGGTCAGAGCCTGGAGCCTGCTTCAGACTCTGTCTCCCTCTATCTTTGCCCCTCTCGTGCTCACGCTCTGTCTCCCCCTCTGTCATAAAGTAAAATTAAAAATTTTTTTAAAGTACAGAAAAAGGAGAATTGTAGAATATTATGAAATATTGATGCAAATATTCTAAATAAGATATCAATAGTGAGAATCCATTATCAGACTAAAATAGTCATATAAAGTGACTATATGTGATTTATTGCAAATATAGAGTGGGATTCCATATTAATAAATCTTCTAAGATAAGGCATCATATTAGTAAATAAACAGATGAAAATCCCATGATCTCAGTAGACCTTGAAAGATTCTTTGAAAAACTGAAAGCAAAGTCCTAATAAAAACCACATAAAATGGAAACAGATAGAAGCATTTATATTGTGATAGCACATTCCCTCCTACACATATAGAACTCACTCCCACAACCAGGGAATTAAATAATGGGGTGGTGGAGGGGAGGACATTTCTGCAAGGTGAACAGGCTAATGTGACCTAAACACCATTATCATTCAACATCCTTCTGCAAGTAAGTATTAACAATGCAAGTGAATAACAAAAATCACTGGTTGGATCTCAGCACTGATGGGAATGGACAGGGACTCATTTCAAAAGACCCACATGTACGAATCAGCCATAGATACTCTGGATTTTGTGACCCTGTTTCTGCCCTAACGTGACATGGTCACTGTCCTCAGGGTGGCCTGTTTCTGGCGCCCAGGAATTTGTGCTCAGTTTGAGAAAATTAGAAAATATGTTGCTCTCCAGGACAGGCTTCAAGGAGAAATTTAAGAGAATGTGGAAAGATTTGTAGACAAATTCTTTGAGGCAGGTGACAAACCTCAGTTGATATCAAACAAACAGCTGATGGGGCCAAAATGTCAGGGCTACACAGGAAGTCCCATTTCTGTGGGGACAGCAGGTTTTTGCCTCACTTCCCCATGAGCCTGGAACATTGTGTAATCACTGACAGTTAAGTGAATGGTCTGGCAGTAATAATCTGCCTCGTCCTCAGCCTGGAGCCCAGTGATGGTCAAGGAGCCTGTGCTGCCAGACTTGGAGCCAGAAAATCGATCTGGGATCCCCGAGTGTCGATTGCTATTGCCATAGATGAGGAGTTTAGGGGCCTCTCCTGGGAGCTGTTGGTACCAGTTCACACCATAAATACCGATGCTGTTGGTGCTTCCACTGCAAGAGATGGTGACCGTCTGGCCCAGGGCCCCAGACACGGATGGCGGCTGAGTCAGCATAGACTGGGCCCAGGACCCTGGAAGGAGGAGAGACAAAGAGAGGGTGAAGCTGGGGTCTGGAGACAAGAGGAGAAATTAAGGCACAAGTGTCCTCCCAGGAATGCTTCCCCTGTCCCCACATCTAGTCACCTGTGCAGTGAGCAAGGAGGGTGAGGAGGAGAGGGGACCAAGCCATAGTGGAGATCATCACCGATCCAGCCTTCTGTGGCCCCACAGCTGAACAGAGCCTCCCCTAATCTGCTCCTTCCCCTTTTCATCCTCTGACAGAGGGAGGGCCCATCTATGCAAATGAGATCCCCAGCTCATAGACACTTCACCGCCTTGGGTCAGGTCCCTCTGTGTAAGGATGTTAGGGTGGTGGTTGGGGAGGGGCTCTGATAGGCTAGGGGGTTGGGCAGGCAGAGGGCACAGGCAGCGTCAGGTGGCAACTCCCAGCTCTGATCATCCCTGACTCCTCAGAAAAAGGCGACATGCGCCTCCTGATGTCCAGGCCTGGACACAGCATATATGACATGGCGACCAGAGCCCATCAGAGAGGGTTCTTGCCTCCTCACTGCTTTGCCCACTGTCCCCTTCCTTCTGGCCAGGCCGGATGTCCCCTATGTGACCTCCCATCACCTCAGGGTGCACTTTGCTCTACTCAGGCTCCACGTAGTGAGTCCGTCCACGGTTCCCTTGGCTGTTGATGGGGCAGGACTGAGGTGGTGACTCTGGCACAACCACACAGATGAGGATCAGGGCCAGAGCAGCGACGGGTCCACATTGACGCATGGCCAGTTCTGTGCAGGAGGCTGATTTCTTCCCTCTTCCCTGGTTCCTCTCTGGGCTCAGAGTTCTCTTTCCCAGAAGCTCCCTCAGCACTGAGGAGACAGGGAGTCCTTTTCTCCAGGTTGTGGGTAGACGCCCTCGTGTGCCTTCCTAGGGGGGTTACACACTGACCATCTTCGTCACCTGTCACTATTTCCACCTCCGTGAAACAACAGTTCTCCACACACT